TGGCCTCTCTCTGACGAGGGGCTGAGAACGCAGGGGACTGCCTGAGTGCCCCCGAATCCTGCCTCCATGTGATGGTCCTTTTAATAAGATGATGCTATACAGCAGTCCCTTCTGCATGAAATAACTACCATCATCACAACTTCAGCTGAGCCTGACTGCTAAACATAGTCAGAACTGGGCTTGTTGACGGTTGTGCTCATTCATTAAAGGAGGGCCAGGCAGGGCATTGGACCCTCACCACATTATCCAGCCACTCTTCCCAGCCAACTGTATGTAATTTGACCCTAATCACACGTGGCCTCCGGGATTTGGGGAGGGCTAAAGTATACAATCTGGGGAAGGCTAGGAAGAGAAGGCATGACCCATGCTGCGTAAAGGCTTTCCAGTGCGCATACCCTCAGGTCATACATACCTACACCTCAGCAACCCCTCAGTTATCTTGGTAAGATAAGCTTGATAAATTCATTGGTCCCCAGTAAAACTTTAATCAAACACTGTCTTGACATTAGAACCTTAACAGGGAACGAGCATCGTTTAGCATCCCCAAGAAAAGAAGTCTCACAACAGATGGAAAATTTGTTAATGCTATTATGTCTCATAATTATTTTTTTAAAAAAGAAAATGAGAATGTAAAAGATGTTAAAAGGATATGGGAATGGAAATATTTTCCAAAATAGAAAAAATGAGGACGCCTAAGCAAGTGATAAAGGTCTGTTTAGGTTTGTTATGCTATATAAAGGATGAGACAAAAATAATATACACATAATCTTAACATGTCTATGGTCATAGTTTAGTCAACTAGTTTAAGGAACAAAATATGTCTTTAGTCAAAGTTTACCTGAGAATATTTGGTTTTTCACCCAAGCCTTATCCACATAGCACATGATAATTAAAAGTAGCAGACTGGTGGAACTAACCTTATTGGATGTTTAACAGCCATAGTTTGAGGCCTATACTAATGTGGTCAGAGGGACTTAAAGGACAGTTTTTGCCCCTTGCCCTTCAAGGTTGACAAAGTTCCAAGAACAGCTCTCAAAATGTCCTGTAACTGTGGTGAGTCACCTGTCCTCTTGTTCAGGGAGGCCATGAAGACCCCATGAGATGAACTTGAACCAGTGTCCAGTCTACAAAGAGGAGGGTCAACTCAGAGGAACCAGTGTCCAGTCTACAAAGAGGAGGGTCATCTCATTCACACTTCCAAGTGAAGCCAGACACGGTCGAGCAGGACCTTTGACTTACCTTCACATAGATGGAACTGGTAAAAGAAAGGAGCCAAGAGCTCCTCCCAAGCCCATGTGACTCCTAGGGAATAGATCCTGAAATGACCTTAAATGTAAAAATAAATTGATTTATTTGGGCCAACTATATGGTCTTAAACACCCAAAAGGAAAGTATAACCGAAGAGTAAAATCATCGGTGAATTTCTTCTTCCTTTTTTTTTTTTTTTTTTTTTGGTCTTTTTGAGACAGGGTCTCCCTGTTGCCTGTAGCCCCAGCTGGCCTGGAACTCACTATATAGACCAGGCCAGCCTTGAACTCACAGAGATCCGCCTGCCTCTGCCTCCTGAGTGCTGGGACTAAAGGTATGCACCACCACACCCGGCTCTAACAACCATTTGTAACTCTAGTTTCAGGGGATCTGACACCCTCTGCAGGCATTACATGCACATATAAAAAGTTATTTAGACAATTATTTCTCATTGATGATTTTGTTCCTAATCAGAAAGTGCTGCTCAGGTGTAAGATTTCAAATCTTGGTCTTTAATACTGTAGTACCCACCTGTAGCTAAGGGAGACATCCAGCTATTGTTCTAAAATGATGGATAAATTTGTTTACTCCCTCTATCTATAAGCCTTTGAGGGGGAACTCACACTGATTCTAACCACTCCAACAGCTATCAAAATACCTGAAAGGAAATCCTGAATCCATCACTCTAGAGTCCAGTGTTGGAAGACAAAAGAAAAATGAGGAGGAACCCAATAGAGGGATGGTTTTGAAAGCCCTTGTCAAGAAATTCCAGTGGACTCTCATATGAACATTTCAAAATTGCCCTATTCTGACTTTTTTCTAGTTCCCTGTCTAGAATTGTAATGCTAATTACTCTTGCCTTTATTCCTCCTTCACATCTCCTATTTACAATTCAAAGACTTTCTTTCCCTCCTCCAGAAATAAGAGTTATGCAATTTGCGAGTTTTTTAGATAGACCCACTGAAGGGATACTCCAGTTGCCTCACCCTGCATCCACGTTCAGCATGGAAGAAGTCAGAGCAGTCTGCATCCCTATTCCCTGTTGGCAATTTGGGTAACCTCTTCAGAGGATGGTGTGATAAGAATAGGAGGTAGGAACTGGCCAGGCAGTTAGGGTAAAAAGACCCCAAAGAATATTACATGATTTTACACATATAAGGAATCTAAAAAATGAACCTTTGCAAGTCTAGAGGAGAATAGTAGTTTCCAGAGGTTGGGCAGAGATGAGAAGGAGAGAGCTTGTATCTAATCCTTAAAAGATTTTAGGGTTACCTCTTCAGAGGGGGGAATGTTAGAGTAGCCAAAAGCCCCATCAAAAAAAAAAATAGTAAATCAAAGAAGAAAGAGTACCTGAAGTTATCAGAAAAAAGTGATGGGGAGCTATGGGAGGAGTTGGAGGAGAGGGAGTGGACATGGATTTGATCAAAATACCTTATGTGCATGTATGAATTTCTCAATAAATTATTTATTAAAAAAAGAAAGAAAGAAAGAAAGATCATTAGTTCAAGGCCTGTCGGGACTACGTAGCAAGTTCCTGGCTAAAAAAAAACAAACAAAACAAAAACAAAGAAAGAAAATGGAATAAACACATGGACTCTCAAACATTGGAAGTCAGGAAGCAATCTTAAAGGAATGTTACTAGGGTAAGGAAGCCAGTCTGAAAAGGTGGCAGGCTACATGATCCCAGCAGGATCATGATAGAAGAGGCAAATCCATGGAGACTGTGAAAAGCCTGGTCTCACCAAGGGCGAGGGTATGGAGAGGCAGAGTTTGGGGTAGTTGAGCTGATCTGCCTTTCACTGTATTGTGACACGTGCCATACATTTGTCAACACACAGTAAATGTACTAAAGTTTCACTAAGATTCAACCCTAATGCTAACTATGAATTGGGTCACAATGTATTAATACAGGCTCACTGTGACTATACCACCTTATCATAGTAGAGAGGGAAGGAGGAAGGAAGGAAGGGGGAGGGAAGGAAAAGGAGCGAGAGAGAGAGAGAGAGAGAGGGAGAGAGAGAGAGAGAGAGAGAGAGAGAGAGAGAGAGAAGAGGGAGAGAGAGAGAGAATGAATGTAGCGACAGCAGTTATACAGGGATTGTGACTTTCTTCTCAAGTTTGCTGTGAACCTAAAACTGCTCCCAAAATCAAGTTTTATCAGTTAAGCATTTTTGCTATTAGGAGGCTGAGTCAGAAGGGCTGGTACAAGTTCCAGGTCAGCCTGGTCTTTATATAGAGACCTTGTCTCAAAGAAACAAAACAGAAAGAAACATGAACACCCTTTGTTATTGGTCATCTACAGTTCCTTCCCTCTTCTGTATTTGATTCACCTCCCCTTACCATAACTGTTACAAGGGAATTATTAAACATCTCTGTAGATTCTAGAAAATTCCAAACATACAATAAATACTTGTGGAATGAGTAAGAGCTTTATGGGGTCTCAACGGGGTTCAGGAAACTTACTTCTCCTGTGGACTATTGAAAACAAAAACAGAATAAAGACCTTTGACACTATTAGTTATTTTTCTGTTGCTGTGATAAAATACCATGATCAAGGCAATTTATAGAAAGAAGAGTTCATTTGGACTTATGGTTCCAGAGGGGGAGTCCATAATGGTGGGGGAGGCATGACAACAGGCAGGCCTGGGGGCAGCAGCCAAAACTTTGAGCTCACACCTTCCACTGCAGACAGGAAGCAGAGAGCCAATCAGAAGTGAAATGGCCTCCCCGAGTGACATAGTTCCTCCAAGAAGGCTGTATCTCCTAAACCTTCCCGAACAGTGCTACTAACTGGGGGCCAAGTATTCAAAAACATGAGCCTATGGGGGACATTTCTCATTCAAATCACCACAAAGGCCTTTAACACAACTGAAAAACTTCACTAGAAGATCCTATTAGGTTTTGATTCTTTCCAAAAACTTCATTCTTTAATCTAGACGAGGTTACCTCATGTAGTGTTTGAAGAGCAAGAGTTTCTGGGAAGGGATACATATCTTACAATGGATAAAATCAAAAGAATTCTCAGGGGGCTGGAGAGATGACTCAGCAGTTACGAACACTGGTTGCTCTTGCAGAAGACCTGGGTTCGATTCCCAGCACCCACGTGGCAGCTAACAACTCTGAAACTCCAGTTCCACGGGATCCGATGCCGTCTTCTGACCTCCCCAGGTATTACATGACATGGGTGCACATATACCTGCAGGCAATACACTCATTCACATAAAATAAAAATAATAAATAGGGACTGGAGAGATGGCTCAGCGGTTAAGAGCAATGACTCCTAGCACCCACATGGCAGCTCGAAACCGTCCTTAACTCCCGTTCCAGGGGAATCTGAAGCCCTCTTCTGACCTCTGTGGCGTTGCACGACACTGGTGCACTCATATACATACAGGCAATACACTCATACACATACAATAATAAATAAAAATATTTTAAAAAAATAATAAAAAAATATTTTTTAAAAGTCGGGCATGGTGGTGCATACCTTTAATCCCAGCAGTCTGGAGGCAGAGGCAGGCGGATCTTTGTGATTTCAAAGCCAGCCTGGTCTACATAGTGAGTTCCATAAATAAATAAATTCTCAGTACTAAATCCAGGCATGAGACAGAGTGACTGGAACTCTTTTAACATTGCTTATGGAAATAAAAAATTGTATAGCCATTTTGGAATTTTTTTGGAATTTATTATACAATTAACATATATTTAACTGTAATACCTAGCAATTTTCTTTCTAGTTATTTATCCAGAGAAGTAAAAACGTGTTCTTTTAACACTTGAGTATTTACAGTGGCTTTATTTCTAATCATCAACACCAGGAAACATCCAAATGGCATTCAATTGGTGCATGGACAAACTCTGGTACATCTATTCAATGAAATACCAGTGAGCAGTTGGGGGGAAGGAGCTATTGGTATGGGCAATGTCACGGATGCATCTTGAATGCAGCACTCTGCAAAGTGAAATGAGACAGACTCAGCTGTTCACACAAGGTATGGCTCCACTTACATGACACTCACCGAACGGCAACACCCACAAGGAAATGCTAGGGGGTGAGGGTAGTGGTTGGTGCAACTCAACAGGAGGGAGGTTGGGGCGGGGGACGATCTTGAGTGTGATCGTGGTTATTCAATCATACAAGTTTGTCAAAACATACAGGATTTTAGACTAGGAAATGGAGATTTACTATGCATAAACTATAGTTGAATAAGTAAGACTTTAACGATGTAGCTAGTTGCTAGGACGATGGTCGATAAAGCAGTTATCCCAGAGCCGATGTTAATTCCATAACTGAAACCAAGGAAAACGATTCTTCCACAAGTTCCAGGGAAGCTCATGCTGAACCAGAAGAAGATTATTATTAATTATTTAATTTATAATTTAATTAAACGCATGCCTTCCAAATGCATGCCTTTAATCCCAGCACTCCGGAGGCAGAAGCAGGCTAGCGAGTTCCAGATCAGCTGTGGCTACAGGGAGACTCTGTCTCAAAAAGACAGAAAGAGAAAAGAAAAGAACAAATGCTGCAGGAACCAGAGAAGAAAAATGTCCAGTTCCTGCTCACAGTGGGCTCCACAGCCTCAAAAACAGGAGTAAGAAAAAGACAGGGACAAGATAACACAGTCTTTGATAGTAAAGAATGGAAACCAGGTGTGGTGGCTCGTGCCTGCCGTCCTCATACTAGGGAAGCTGAGGCAGGAGGATCCGTCCAAGTTTGAGGCCAGTCTAGGCTATATATATAAAACTTTTTAATTAAAAAATTATTTTAAAATTATATGTGTATAAGTGTTTTGCTGGGCATGGTGGCACACACTTTTAATGCCAGCACTCAGGAGGCAGAGGTAGGCAGATCTCTGTGAGATCGAGGCCAACCTGATCTACATACCAAGTTCCAGGCCAGCTGGGTCTCAGGGAGACCTTGTCTCAAAAAAAGTAAGACCAAGGGAAAAAAAAAAAGCACATGTTTTGACTGCATGTATGGAAGTGTACCATGTGCGTGCCTGCAGAGGGCAGAAGAGGGTGTGTCAATCCCCTGGAATTGGAGCTATAGATGGCTGTTAACTGTCACGTGGGAACAAAACTCTGGTCCTCCACAAGAACAGAATGTGTTCTTACCTCTGAGCCATCTCTCCATCTAAAAAAAATTTTCAAAACAAAAGAATGAGTACAGTGTGTCATTTAATGATAGGTACGCTCTAAAGAAGGTGTCACCAGGTGACTTTATCATTGTGAGATCATTAACCTACTTACTAAACCTAGACAGTGTAGGTCTGTCACCTGACATGGCTTTTACATAGTATAAAGGGACATAGTTACATGAGTCATATGATGTTGTGGCTAGAGGAATGTGATGTCATGTTCTACAGAAAAATGTTTTTATAAATAGAAAGAGCATACCAAAATAATAATAAAAAGCTAGGCATGGTGACATGCACCTGTATCCCAGGATTCAGGAGGTTGAGACAGGAGGATTACCACAAATTGGAGGCCATCTTGTTCTATCCCACAAATTCCAGGCCAGCCAGGTGTACATAGTGAGACCCTGTCTCAGAAAACAAAACAAAATAAAAATAATGGTAAAAAGATACCATGTAGTAAATACGTGAACCAGTACCATAGTCGTTTACCGCCATGAATATTATGTACCATAATAATTATGCATTCTATGCTTTTACACTGTGCGTGTAGGTTGCTTTCTCCATCATCACCACACACAAGTGAGTCATGTGCGGTGCTGTGACATCACAATGGGTACCTCATAGCCAGGTGACACTGCACTTTGAAGAGATCCCTTTCATATGACAGAAGAATCCCTATGTCCTGCATGACTATCCATAATTAGACTCTTCATACTGCATCACTAAAAGCAAGAGCCAAGCTCTGTGAATAGTACCTTAGCCTCAGCACTTGGCAGGAGAGGAAGGGTAGGCTTAGGCAGCATTTAGTGAGTGTTTACTCTGGGTGGGGTGCTGATCTACATAATTCAAGTGCCACAGAAACCACGTGACCTAGGCAAGGTCATCCTCCTCCTTTATAGATGAAGCAGCAGAGTCACAGGAAAATTGGCTGCTTTGCCAAGGTCACGGAGCCATTTATAGAGAAGGGATTTAGCCCATGGCAGAATGGCTTCCAACCATGTAGCCTATGAACCATAATAGTGTAAGTATCAATAAGGAGAAACAGTGAGTGAGTCACTGGAACTAGTTGATACACCTGTTACTCATGTTACCTAACATCAGTGAGAAAGTCAACTATATAGAGAGAGGTTAAGCATGCAAAAATTCTGCTTAAGTCTGAGAGAAGCTGGGCATGGTGTACAAACCTGTAATCCCAGCAGTTGGGATGTGAAGACAAAACAGAAGGATCCAGAGTTTAAGGAAATTCTCAGCGACAATGAGTCTGAAGTTAGCCTGGGCTACATGAGACCCTATAGCTAAACAAAAACAAACTGGTAAATAATAGATAAGACCTTTTCCTTTATGTATTTATAATTCCCCCACTTCCCCATTACTAAAGTTATATTATTGAGAGACACAGAGACCTAGAGAGATGCAGAGAGACACAGAGAGAGAAATCCTGAAAAAAAAACAAAACCAAAAAGCATCTATAGTCTCACCACACAGAAGTAACCACCGCTAACATCTTGGCCTGTTTCCTTCCATTCTTTTAAAAACATCTCTTATTTGGGGCCGGAGAGATGACTCAGTGGTTAAGAGCACTGGCTGCTCTTGCAGAGACCTGGGTTTGGTTCCCAGCACCCACAGATGATCCAACACCCTCTTCTGACTTCTGCAGGCATTGCACGACATGGGTGCTCTTACATACATGCAGGCAATACACTCAATACACATAAAATAAAATATTTTTAAAAGTCTCTTATTTGCACAGCTGAGACCCTACTTAGATGTAACTTTGGATCCTGCCATTTCTTTCCCTTCACATCATAGACTCTCCTCACTTGAAGTGGCTGTACAGATCTTACATAATTTATGAGCTGTCCCTTCGCAGTTGGAGCTTAAGGTTGTTTCCAATATTTTCACTAACATAAATAACCCACAATGAGCATGCTAGTTCATAAATCTGTGTATGCACTACAGAGTATTTTTTTAGGATCATTTCCCAGAAATGTAATTGCTGAGTTAGATGTTGTGAATATTTTAAAGACTACGTTAGAAAGTAATATTCCTTATAAGTAGTGCTTACATTCTTCGGAACTAAGTGGAAGGGCTTCCAGGGGGTCAGAAGTTGCTTACATTCTTGTTCCTATGTGGTGTGGGTGGGCGTGGTTGTAAAAGAACTTGCAGCTCTAGCTTGTACATTAACTACTGTAGGACTTCTCTGCTGTGAGCCATGTTTTTTTTGTTTGTTTGTTTGTTTTGTTTGTTTGTTTGTTTTAAATGAACACGTTGAATCTATGTGGTGAATGAAGGGGTGTTTATGGTGCTACTGATCTTTTAAAAAAATATATCTATTTTGTGTGGTGTCTATGTGTGTGGTACAAGCATGTGTGGGTGTGGGTGTGCATACCTGTGTGTGCCCATTTTGGGACCAGAGGAGGAGATCAGGTGTCTTCCTCTGCTATGGTCTGTCTTATTCCCTTAAGACAGGACATCTCTCTGAACTGGAAGTTTACCATTTAGGCCAGGCTGGCTGACCAGTGAGTTCCAGGGACCCACCTGTCTCCATCCTCAGTCCCCAGTGCTGGGGTTGCAGGCGTATGCTGCCATGACCAGCTTGTTTTTGTTATTGTTGTTGTTTTTTTTTGTTGTTGTTGTTGGTTTTTTGTTTTGTTTTGTTTTGTTTTGTTTTTTTTTTTTTTTTTGGTCTTTTTGAGACAGGGTCTCCCTGTGCCCCAGCTGTCCTGGTGTTGGGTTTTTTTTGGGTTTTTTTTTTTTTTTTTTTTTTTTTTTTTTTTTTGGTCTTTTTGAGACAGGGTCTCCCTGTGCCCCAGCTGTCCTGGAACTCGCTATGCACATCAGGCTTGCTATTGTTGTCTTTAAGATTCATTTTATTTGCGAGTATGTGTCTGTGTGTGTATGCCATGTATATGCACTGCCCGTGGAGGCCAGAAGAGAGCGTCAGATTCCCTGGTAACTGGAGTTACAGGCAGTTGTAACCACCTGGACTAAGAGTCCTCCAACCTTGGTCCTCTGGAAGAGCAGCAAATATTCTTAACCACTGAGCTATCTCTCCAGCTCCCATGCCCAGCTTTTTATGTGGCCCTAGGGATTTGAACTCAGGTCCTCAGGTTTACAGAGCAAGTGCTCTTACCCGATGAGTCATTTCCCTACCCTGTATTATACTATTTTTTTCTCTAGTTTTTCTGTTTGTTTGAAAAGCTGTTATAGCCGGGCGTGGTGGCGTACGCCTGTAGTCCTAGCACTTGGGAGGCAGAGGCAGGCAGATTTCTGTGCGTTCAAGGCCAGCCTGGTCTACATAGTGAGTTCCAGGACAGCTGGGGGCTACAGGGAGACCCTGCTTAAAAAAAAAAACAAAAAAAAAACAGCTTTTATAATAAAAAGTTAAAGGAAAGACTGGGGGCGGAGTTCAGTTGGTAGCTTGCTTGCCTGGTGTGCTTGAAGTCCTGACTTGGATCTCAAAATACTGCATAAAACCAGGAGTCCTGGCACAAATATACCTTTAATCCCAGTGCTCTTGAGGGAGAGGGAGAAGCAACAGAAGTTCAAGGTCATCTTCTCTGCTATGGAGCGAGTTTGAGTCCAGCCTGGACTACAGGAGACCCTATCTCAAAACAATTGAGTGTTCCTTTCTTAGGGCACTATGTGTTTCTTCCCTTTTTTCATGTATTCTTTGTATTTCTCAACAAACTATTTACTTTTATTTTTCTAAATAGTGACTATCATATTCATAAGCCTGATGAAAACAGTAAATAAAAGCATTGTGCTTCGCAAATGCAACCTATGGTTTTTACTTAGTCACATATACTAGTACCTCAGAAGCGGGAGGGGAAGTTTCTCAAAGGAAACTTTGATATCTGTCTTGTGACTCAAATTCTGCAATTTATGCTGTGCACAATGTCCTGTGGCCAAAACTACCTCAGGTGTTGCAAAGGGAGATAAAAAGTGATCAGATTGTACTGGGTTTCAGTCTTCTAAACAGGTGTGATTTGGGGAACTTGGTGCCAGGTCACTACAAGAACCTGCTTCTTTGGCAAATTTCTCATGGCCTTCTCTCAAATCCTAACTTTTAAAAAGATTTATTTTACTTTATGTGTATGAGTGCTTTACCTGCATGTACGTATGTCCAGCTGTATGTATGTGTGTATCATGTGCATGCCTGGAACCCTCAGAGGCCACAAGAGGGTGCCAAATCCCCTGGAACTGGAGTTACAGATTGTTTTGAGCCACCATGTGGGTGCTAGGAACTGAACCCAGGTCCTCTGCAAGAGCAGTGAGTGCTCTTAAGTACAGAGCCATCACTCTAGCCGAATTTCTAATTCTAAAAAGTTACTTACTTATTTAATTCTGTATGTGCATGTGTATGTGTATGTCTGTGTGTGTGTATGTGTGTATGCATATGTGAGAGCAGGGAGAGGGCAACTGCAGGAGTCGGTTCTCTCCTTGTACCATGCGGGTCCTGGGGATTGAACCCAGGCTGTCAGGTTTGAAGGCAAGTGCGTAAACCTGCTGAGCCATCTTGCCAGTTCCTTCTACTTTCAGTTTCTAAGGGTACAGACTCATTGAATCTGGATCAACTCAGTGTCAGCAAATAGAATTTTTCCACGTATGACAGAATTCATCTTGTTAAAGAGACACATCAGAGCTCCACTCCATCTCTCTTTCTCTGAAGGGAGAGAAACAAGGCCATGTGACCACACAAAGGGAAGGGGCCATTAGCAGGCCAGAGATGTCTCACTAGAAACAGTTCTGATGATACCCTGGTTTACCCTGATTTGGGATTTTTGGCTTTTTTTTCTTTTTTTTTTTTTTGGTCTTTTTGAGACAGGATCTCCCTGTAGTCCCAGCTGTCCTGGAACTCTCTATGTAGACCAGACTGGCCTTGAACTCACTGAGATCCACCTGCCTCTGCCTCCCGAGTGCTGGGACTAAAGTGCCACCACAATAACTTTTGGCTTTCAAAGTGTGAGAAAATAAGTGTGTGGCTGAAACCACCTGAGCTGCTACTTTGTTAAAGCACTCCTAGCAAAGTAATATACATTTTGATACTGAGAAGTTGAATGTTCCTATAACAAAGTAGAAGTGATTTTGGAGCCGAGTAACAGAAGGGGCTAGACGAGCTTTGAGGAACATGTTCAGAAAGAACCTAAAGTGCCTAGAAGGAACTGGTGGTAAAAATGCAGATGCTAAGGTGATTCTGGCAAAGGTTCAGAAAGAGGAAAGTTGGAAAGAGAGCTTAGTCTCAAACACTTTAGATATTACCATATATGCGGACAAAAATGTAAACATTAAAGGTGATTCAAGCTGAGTGTGGTGGCTCATGAAGCTGAGGCAAAAGGAGAGCCAGGAGTTCAAGGCCAGCCTGGCTAAAGCCGGAGACTCTATTTCAATCAATCAACCAATCAATCAACCAATCAAGGTGATTCTAGGTAGTCTCAGAAACCAATGCTGGCAATCAGAAACATGTTATAAATTGTGTGCTAGTGTTTCATAAAGTAGAAACTGCAAATGTCAAATCTAGATACTGTGTCAGCCTTTTGTTGCTATGACAAAATATTAGCGATAAACAACCTAAGGGGGAAAGACTTATCTTGGCTCACTGTCTCAGAGGTCTCATTTTGGGATCACTTGGCTCCACTGCACTGAGGCCCATGGCAAGACAGAAACCTCATGATAACAGCGTGGGGGTGAGGAAAACAATCCCAAGGATCTAAAATCCTTTTTATCAAAGGAATGATCGCAGGAATGTAACCTAATCCTCTTCTGTAATCTCCCTTACCTTGTAAACTTTTGTACTCGAAGAAGGTTACTGAATTTGATGGCTCAGAGCAGCTGGTCCCTTCCCTTTCCTTCATTTCTTTTAAAACTAGCCAACCTTGAAAGTGAGATTAGACCCCAGCTGATAGGGGAAAGACACAGTACCCTCATTAGGATAGAAACCTATCAAATTTCCTTCAAGATGTGCTTGTTACCAGAATGCAGATATCTACCCTTTTGCAAAAGCAAAAGGTGTTTTGCTGAGTTACTTTTGCTTTATCCAAGTATTTTTTTGTGGGGTATCAGTGGAGACCTTGGTCCCCAGATTTTAGTTCCAACAGGCAGAACTAGCATGATCGTCTCATGATAGTCAGAAAGCAAAAAGAAGTGGGAGGTAGGAAAAACACCCTTCAAAAGCAGGGTCCCAGTGGCCTGCTTCTAACTTGGATGACCTCCTCACAGCCCATGCAGTATGAGCTCGTGAGTGGATTAACCTACTGATGAAGTTAGCAGACTCACGATCCACTCACCTTTTAATGGTCCAGGAGCTAGGGACCAAGCCTTCAACACATGAGCCTTGGGGTTGGGGCTTCATATATTCAATGTACTTAGCTACAATAGTTATTCTTAAGCAAAGCACTAAAGGTACAGCCTGATTTCTCCTTGGTGCTTGTATAAAATTCAAGAATGAGGGGCTGGAAAGATGGCTCGGTAGTCAAGAATGAGACAAATGAAAGGAACTGTGAAAAAACTCTGGAGTTGAAGACTTGGTTCATTCTCAGCCTATTCATTGTACAAAATGAGAAAGTGCAGGCATGGTGTGCACACATTTAACCCCAGCACTTGGAACGCAGAGGCAGGGGGAATCTCTGAATCTCTCTGAGTTTGAGGCCAGCCTGTTTTACATAGGAAGTTTCAGGCCAGCCAGGGATACATAGTAAGACTCTGCTAGAGAGAGAAGGAGGGAGGGAGGGAGGGAGACAGAGAGGGATGGAGAGAGAGCTACAGAGAGAACTTGAGAGTGTGGCTGGTCTGTCCCTGTGGAGATTACCCATGCAGCTAATCAGCCAGTTCAGTACAAGCCAGGAATACAGACAGGATTCTCTTAGCAAAGGCACTGCCTAAGGGAACAGAATCAGGAAGAGATAAAGGAAGGCTGTTGGAGGTCTAGGACTCTATGAACAGAGCAATCTGGCTATTAGGCTTCCTACCTACTTCTCTGGGAAAAAAGAGGACGCATGACCCTGAAGGCATTTCAGTGACATCAGAACTGCTACTCCCATCACAGAAACAAGAGTGTTTTAGAAGGTGGGGTCCTTTTCTCCTTCTGCCCAGTACCTAAGTGGCTTGGCTGTGGTAAAGTGCTGTGGAGGTGAGGCCTCTGGCCAGATCCTCAAGGATGACATTATCCTGTGGTGCCAGTAGACCTGGAGTGCTGATATCCAGTCAAGAGGGAGCATTCTAGCACTTTGAGGAATGCTGGACTTTGCCTGGCTGTGTTGGACTTCTTGGTGCCTTCTTTTTGATTACCCCCTTTTAGAATAGCAGAATTTGGAAGCACATACCTTGGTCAGGTTTCACAGGCTCATAAACAGAGAGGAATTTGACCTCAGGGTAAGCCACATCTCCCCCACCTTCAGCGCCCATCTTGATGATGCTTAGATGAGACTTGGAACTTGGAATTCATGCTGGAGTTGCCTTTGGGGACTGTTGTGACAGGGTGACTATATTTTGCATGAAGAGATAATGATCTTTGGGGGAGTCAGAGGATAGTGTACGATAGACTAAATTGAGTCCCCCCAAATTCCTATGTTGAAACCCTAGCCCTAATGTGACTATATATGGAAACAGTGCCTACAAAAGAGGTAATAAGGTTAAGGGAGTTCAAAAGGATGGGGTCTTACTCAACATAACATTGGCATCTGTAGAAGAAGACACCAGGGCGTCCCTGTACACACAAGGAAGGGGCCAGGAGAAGACACAGTAAGAAGGCAGTCAGTTGTTTATAAGCCAAGAGAATCCTCACTGGAAACTGACCCTGACTGACACCTGGCTCTTGCACATCTAGCTTCCAGACCTGTCAAATTATTCATTTCTGTACTATACCACTAATGCCTTGGTGTGATATAGGTGACTTGTTAAGCCACTGTCTGCTGTCCCATCACAACACCTACAGTCCCTGTCCACATCAATGGCAAGAACCAAATCTTTATTCCCACCCCCCCATGGGTGCTCACAGGGAGATTCTTACAGACCCCCCTCAGCATCATTTTCCAGAGTTCTGAGATGGACACCTTATTCATTTATGCAATCTGGGTTTGACCAGAGGCACAGGAAAAGGCTCCAGGATGGACTTCTGGCACCTCACCTAGGCAAAACTTGCTAAGGAAACTCGACAGATTACTTCTGGTTATCACTTTTTCTGTCCATCGACCATCAAATGAGGCATGTTGAGCTTTAGGTTCTGGAAGGGTGCAGACTTGGATCTGAATTGAGGCTCTTACCTTGGCTGTATGATCTTGGGCAAGTGACTTAGCCTCTCTGGTTTGACTTTTCCAATCTTTAAAACAGAGATGATACTAAAGCCTGTGGTGGCACATATCTTTAATCCCAGTACTCTGGAGGCAGAGGCAGGTGGATCTCTGTGAGATCGAGGCCTGCTCAGTGTACATAATGAGTTCCAGGCCAGCTGTGGCTACAGGGAGACCTTGTCTCAACAAAACAAAACAAAACAAAACAAAACAAGAGATAATGCTAATATCTACTCCACAGAATTATCAGCCTAATTGTTTGTTTTTTGTTTCTTTTTTTTGAGACAATGTCTCATGTAGCCCAGGTTGGCCTCACATTCTACACATACTGAAGGATAACCTTGAACTTCTGATCCTTGTACCCCACCTCCCAAGTGCTGGGATTACAACTGTGCACCACATTCCCAGAAGCTGGGGCTGGAACCCAAGGCTTTGTGCATGAGAGGCAAACACTCAACCAACTGTGATACAGTCCCAGCCCATACTGGACTAATTAAAAAATGTGTCAAAATTCTGGCACATAGAAAAGGTCAATAAAAGGAAGTCCTTTTCCTTGGCCAAGTAAATGAATGCGTCTGACATTGTCTTAGCTATTGTAATTTTCTTAGCGACAGCTCTATTTTCAGGATTCATCTTTAGTTCCACCGAAAACCTTTACCATCCCAAATCCTGTTCCCCCCACTCCGTGTGTGTGTGTGTGTGTGTGTGTGTGTGTGTGTGTGTGTGGATGTGTGTGTGTGTGTGTTTGGTCTAGGTTGTTTCCTTGGCCTGATGTTTCATTTCAGCTTTTCTGGAGCACAGAAATCCTGTCTTCTGGGATTCCTGACTGCAGCCACCCCCCACCCCCACCCCCCAGTCAGAAGAAATGAACTAATGGCTCAGATATGAGTCCTGATAAGAAAACAACTCGGTTTAGCACTCAGTTCTTTGCTTAGCAGTTAACTCTTTCAGGGCCTGCCTCCAAGAGTGGCCGCCTCTCGGGGGCAGCGCTGGAACGAGTTTTCTCAGTTACCAAAGCCCTTAGCAAACAAGGCAGGATACAATAAATCTGCCGCTGCGCAGAGTGGGGTCTGGTTTCACTCCTACAAGCTGAGCCTCGCTTTCTCCCCAGGCCTCATCCACACAGCATCCCCCCTGGGACTCGGACCATCCCTACCCCAGGGTTGGGTGCCCATCACCTGAGTCAATCGGGCTCCCCAGGGCTTCGCGGGCTCCACCCGCAGCCCTCCCTCCAAGCCCTCCGGGCGGCGCCTCCCCTCCTCCACCCCGGCAGAGCCCCGCGGGGCTAGGGGCGGAGCGTCTGGGCCTCCGGCTGGGAGGTTTAAGAGGCTGGCGGCTGTGTGTGGAGCCGCCGCCGCTAGGCCGGGGGCAGGCATGGGAGAGGGCGTGTGATCGCCGGAGCCCTCGCCGACACCATGCCCGGGCGCGCGGGCGCCGCCCGGCTCTACCTGCTGGCTCTCGCTCTGCATCTTCTCCGGCCGCTGGCGGCGCGGGAGCCGGCATGGACCAGAAGTAAGTGGAAGGGCAGTGGGGCGCGTGGCTAGGGGCTTCGGGGTGGCTCTGCAGGCCCGAAGCTCCGGGACCGCTATTTGCTTCCTCGACCCCTCCCGGGGCGTGCGCCCCGCCACCCCCAAACCCAGGAGCCCAGGCTTTGTTCCCGGGTCGTGAGCCGCGAGAGGCAGTGGAAATCTTGAGTAGCAGGAACGAGCCGAAAGCGGCTATCCCCTCACCAGCTGCCTTTCCGTCGCGATCTCCTTCCCCGTGTTCTTTCATCTCTCAGCCTCCTTATCCTGTTTTCCTGCTTTGGGCTTTTCTTTCCCCTCTGTTTTCTCACGGTCTCCATCTCCGTTCCGCCTCCCCCTCCTTTTGCGCCCGATGCTCTAGCTAGCGTGGAGCAGCATCCCTAGCGTCCTGTGCGCACTGCCTAGGGAAGCCGCTCCCTGGGATATTGTGGGGACCCAAATACATACCAGTGGGGTAGAAACTCAAATGCTTCCTGGAGACAGTAGGTATCCCTGTCTGTAAGCTTCGCACCCGTGCGCGGGAGGGAACCCTGCTGAAAGGAGACGAAAGGCCCGCACACACCCATTATGCAGATGGTAAGCTGAAGCCCACAACCGAGAAAACAGCTGCATTTAACAACACCACACCTTGAGGTCTGCACGAGAAACTAGGGTTCTTTCCACCCCACCCGAGGCCCAGTCACTCTGCCTCAGTTTCTCCTTCTTGTGAAGCAAAGGGGTTGGACTCCACGCTTTCAGTTGGGATGCTGGGTGATGACTGTTTCTCACAGCTGGTTTCCCAGGCACCACTCCCTCCCGAGGCCCATCCCTCCTGGGCTCTCGGAGGACTTCGCGGAAGGGATGGTCCCGGAGGGGCGATGCCTGGTTTCTGTCTTTCTGACCCGGGAAAACATAGCCTTGACTCCGCCGCAGCTGGAGAGCTGGGCTGACTCCAGACGGCGGCTTGCGGGACCAACAGTCAGCGTTTTCAAACCAAGCTAGCACCAGGGCCGGTGGGGGCTGGGCAGGCTGCGCCTCTGGCCACCCAGAGCCGGCGTGGTAGAGCCAAGCCATGAGGGGTCCGCCTGCGCTCCAGCAGGCAGACGGAGTCTTCTTTTATAGCTCCTGTACCGAAAGGGAAACCGAGGCACGCAAGGGGCCTCCTTCCCTGGTTCACGGTTGGAGAGAAACCGTAAGGAAAGGCACTGAGAGCGAACTATTGCCAGGTGATCACACCCCCAGATCAGTGAGTGGGTCAGAGTCGCTGTAGACCGGGAACGAAATCAGAAGTGTTCAAGAAATAAAATGACTGTGATCCCTGGATGAGCGGCTGTTTGCTTGCCCCCTTCCAGTCCGTGTTCCTATGACTGTATATTGATGAATTTGGAAACATAACACTTTAAAAGTACTGCCCATATAAGGGCTTCTCCAAAACCACGATTTTCAGTGACAAGGAATTCCAAGAGATCACAAAGACATAATTTCCCTAAAGTCAAACCCCTGACTCTCATACAAAGGTGGCAAAGATTCTTCTCAGTTTAGGAGGTGAGGAAAAGTCCAGTCAAGCTAATCAACGTTATTATCAGAAATCGGGTGATAGGGAGAGAGGATGAAATCTCGTGGGTCGGATGGTGGATAACTAATTGTTGGTTATCTTTTACTATCCTGAAATCATTTGCATGCATCTTTGCGGGTCAGAGTTCCACAGTTAATTTTCAACTTCACTGAGTATAGGCTTTTCATCAATAGTAAGTAAAAAGCCAAAGATAACATCTTCCTAGATAAGTCAGTTCCTAAGTGTTCCTGATAGGCTGCTGAGAAGACAATCCAGTTTGCTTCTTTTTGGCCTTATTTCCAAGTTTTAAGTCAACTGTTCTTCAGCTGTGCTGTGTTCCTTAAGTTGTACTGTGTTTTTGACTTTAAATTGCTTACAATAGTTTTCATGATTCTAAGTGTTTAATTCCTTTAAATGTTCGATTAGACACCACATAACACCTAAATTTATCAGGGACCATACAGCAAGGACCTGCCTCGTTCTTCCATGAGTATTAAGCGCTGATCATTGTAAATTAAGAACTCAGAATGTATTTGGTAAATAAATGAACACATTCATTCATTTTTGTACCAGTGTAGACGAAACTAATGTCAATAAAATTATTTTTTAGAATACATTCTGTTAGCAAGTATATTACATTAATCATCTAAAAAGGAATTTTATCAATGGTAATACCACCACTCCAGCTCTTTCTCTCTCTCTGCCTCTCTCTGACTTGATCTTGTGTAGCCCCAGGTTGTCCTCAAACTCCTCACGTAGCCAAGGATGGCCTTGGAGCTCCTAGTCCTCTTTCTGGACTACAGGTCTGTGCCACTTTGCTTGGTACAGCCATCTTTTCTATCACTTATGTGATTGATTGTAGTTGGATTAGAAAGAGTAGAAAATTGGGGGCCTCACCTGCACCCCTGAGAGTCTTTGGATTTGCTCTGTTCTTGTGGAGACTAAATTGCTTAGGTGTCAGGAAATTCTCATTTTATTAACATGGTTGACAAACCAGTGTTGAAGTCTCCCAGCCTTGAACATCTGATCCCTCTTCTGGGGTTGTAGCTCCTTCCCTTGGGAGCTCACTGCCTACCTTCCAGGGTGGTCTCCAAGAAGAGAACTGGAGGAGAGAATGGTATAGAGAGTAGGAAGTGAAATATAAGTACAAGTTTGCCATTAAGAAGTTCAAGTTAATGTTGATGGTTTCCAAGTCAATGTTAATGTTTGTGGGTTGGGAGTCCTTTTCATTTTGACTCTTACCCTGTAAGACCAGGAAATCTGAGTGTCTTTGTCTTTAAAGAGAAAAATTAGGGCCCAGTGGGTGTTCCCACCCTGTGACTTTTATCTGCAGAATGTATTCAGAATCCCACCACTTCATTCTTCTCCACTGACATCATCCTGGTCTGAACCACTGTCATCTTTACTGGGGCCCCTGAGTCTCCAGCCTTGCATTTCTGCTTCTACTCAGCCCCTGCCCCTCCCCCATTCTCCACTCAGCAGGCAGAGTGACTGTCTTAAAACCTAATACGGATCGTGTTACTCTGTGTTTAAAACATCTAATGCCTTCCAAGTCTATCTATAATAAAATTCAGACTCTTTTAGTGCCTCTGTGTTTTCAAACCCATGGCTGTCTTGCTGAGCACATCTTTTACCAACCTCTGTGATTTACTGGATTAAGCTTGCAACCACATGGTACTTTCTCCTTAGCCAGGCCAAGCCCCCTTCTGCTCTTGCCCTAGCCAGTCAGGATGCTCTTCCTCCAGATCTTTGCATGATTGCCTTCTTCTGGTGCTTAGGTCTCAATTAAACACCACCCCTACTGGCCATCCTGTTTAAAGTAGGCACCCTGCTAGGCGTCCCTTCATCCCTCATCTTATTTTCTCCAGGGCACTCAACACCACCTGAAAATGACTGCTTATTTCCTGCCTCTCACCTCCAGAAGGCAAACTTGGGAAAGGAGACCTTGCATATTGTTTATTTTGTCACCAAAGCACAGTGGCGCCCAGCAGGTCTTCTGATACCCTGGACAGAGCACTTTGCCGGTGGCGGTGGCTGTCAGTGATTGTGCTCCTGAGCAGCAGTTGAGCTTTCTGCAGTTTGCATGCTCAGGAGCAGTGTGCATGCTCCACACGGTGTGCCTGGGCATGGAGGCCTGGGAGTCTCATGGCTATGCTGTCTTGTATTGGCAGGAGGAAGCGAGGGAGGCAGTGCCCAGCTACCGCATGAACTTATAATACCTCAGTGGCAGACTTCAGAAAGCCCCGGGAGAGGAAAGGTAAGACTCATGAACTCTTGGTCAGAGAAACAGGAGTGATGGCATCCTCCTAAGACCTAGGGCTGCCCACTCAGCTCTCCAGCCTGGACCAGACGCCCAGGCATCACCACAGCTTCTGCTTCTGGCCCTGTCCTCTCTATGTGCTGGTTTGGGATGTCTTAAGAGAGGAGTTTCCTTCTCTGTATGACAAACTTCTAGAACATTTCCAAGCCCCATTAGTTGAGGAAATGAAAATTCACAGTAATACTGACACATTAAATGCAAATGTGATGGTGTTGAAAATCTTGATTGGAATTTTGTGGGGTTTTGTTTGTTTTTTGCTTTTTTTTTTTTAAATTCCAAAGAGAGGCAGTTTTTAACAGATTTTTCCAGAAATAACTTGAAGCAAGTTGCATAAAAATATATATACAATGAAGTTTAAGTGGAGAAAAAGGAGTAAGAAATCAAAGACCAAAGGATTTTTATTTTTTGCTTTTTGAGACAGGGTCTCATGTAGCCCAAGCTGGCCTCTTAACTCACTATGTAACTGAGAATGACCTTGAACTCCGGATCCTCCTGCCTTTACCCCCTGAGTTCTAGGATTATAGGCTTATACCAATACACCACTATGCACCATGCCCAGGTTTTTTTAAGACAGAGCCTCAGTATGTAGCCTAGGCTGACCTGTGATTCTCCATCCTACTGCCTCAGTTTCCCAAATGGCCAAATGGTATTTTAAGTGTATAACACTGTACCCCGATAATCAAAAAATATTTTACTTATTGTCAGGTATGGTGGTGCATGCCTTTAATCTCAGCACTTGGGAGGCAGAGGCAGGTGGATCTCTGTGAGTTCAAGGCCAGCCTGGTCTACCTAGTGAGTTCCAGGACAGCTGGGGCTACAGGGAGACCTTGTCTCAAAAAAGACCAAAAATTTAAAAAAATTTTAATTTAATTTTATTTGTGTAAGTGGTTTGCTTGCATGTATGTCAGTGTACCACATGCGTGCAATGCCCTGGAGGCCAGAAGAGGGCTTCATATCCCCTGATATCCCCTGGAATTAGAGTTATGGATATTGTTAACTGCCATGTAGGTGCTGGGAACCAAACCTGGGTCCTCTGCAAGAGCAGCCAGTGTTCTTAACTCCTGAGCCATGCCTCTAGCCCTTCCTACTCTCCACCCCCCCAGCTAAATTTTTTTTAAAAAAAATAAGAGACAGGCTAGGGAGCTAGGATTAGGTTCTATATCTTAAAATCCTATAGGCTCCTTGAGCTAGAACACTAGCAAAATGCCCAGGCATATCAAGGAAATTGGAACATGGCTGAGAACTGTTTCCTCTCCTGCAGAGTGGACCCATATTCTTTGGTCTGGTTCTGACTGATCAGGTTAGGCATGATTAGAAAGGGAAATGGGATTGTTGCGTGACAACAACCTGCCTCTTGACCTTCTACTTTCTAAAGAACTTGAGGTTCCTCATTTGTAAGATCAGTTTTAGTGGGAAGAGGAAGGGAGCTGTGGAGAATGGCTGGTTTCTTTTTCTTTTCCTTCTTTGTAATCCACTCGAGATCTTCCTGCCTCACTTCCCCAGTGCTGGGGTTACAGGATGCTCCACCAGGACCTGTTTGAGGAATTGGTTTCTAAGATCTTCTAGAGGCCAAATGGCCTGTGATTTATTAGACAATAGATAGGAGCAAGATTAAAGCCGGGAAAGAGGTGTCCGGAAAGATTTCAGACGATTGTGGCCGTGGAGTCTGGAAAGATAAACAAAGAGGAGAAGCTCCCAGAATTCTTAAGTTATGGTAAGAGTAATACAGAAATGTCCTAAAATACTCCTGCTTGGACTTACTAAAGAAAACGTCAGAACAACAAAAATAAGGAATGTTTTACCCAAAAAGCAAAATGAAGAGAAAAAGAAAAAAATAAAACGAAACAAAACAAAACATGGAACTCATTTCATCCTGAAGTAGGAAACGCCGAAAATAGTTTCAGGAAAAGTTAGACAAATTAATGGATGACCATCCTCAAGGAGATTGTTCTTAAAATTGAGGATCTTGGCTATTTCGGCTCACGCCATCCTTCTGAGGAATGATCGTGGCACTTTTTATAGAGGTTCTTTGGTTCATTCCAGATGTGGGATCGGGGCATCCTCAGGAAGGGCCTGAGAAACAAAGTGGAGGACCAGATCCTGTCTTTGTTCCCAGCTATTGTCTGCCCAGACGCGGGTCATTGTATTCTGCACGGGTGGTCAGGCCAGGGCCTGGCACCGCAAGCATTTGTTGAATGATTGAAGCTGGGGGGGGGGGGTTGATTTCACTTATGTCTCTTATTTGCATTTATGTAATTCATTCACTTAGTAGACATTAATTAAACATGGTCTGTATATGAAATGTAATACTAGATTTTAAGGGGGACACAGGCACAAAGGACAGATTTGCCAGACCCTATGGAGCTGAAGATCTATTTAATCTAGCCCTAAGGATAAAGGACTTCTTAAAAACATTTTTAAAATTACACTTATTTATTTACTGTGTGTATGGGTATGGAGACATGGGTGCATAGCCACAGAGGTCAGAGGACAACTTTTGGAAGTCATTTCTCTCTTTCTATCATGTGGGTGCCAGGCACAGAACTCAGGTTGTGAGACTTGGCTATAAGTGCCTTTACCCACTGAACCACCTCGCCAACTCAAGAGAAAAGACTTTTGGCCCTTCTTGGGGGAAGTATGAACAGCAGGCCACCTTCCAGTGCTTCCTCGGGCAGAATTGGAATTCTAAGAGGAGTGTTGTCAGTAATAGAGCCAGACAGGGAAGCTTCATAGAGCCTTAAAATGCAGTTGCATTGTTTTGCTTGAACCGTCCCCTGGAAACTAGGAGCATCTGATTTTAAACCTCAGTGTCTGAGCACCTTCCAGAAAAAAAAGTATTTTTGGATTACCCACATAAAAATAAATATTAGTCCTCATGTAGCTGGTTGTGTCTGTATTGCTTGCGATGTGTCAACATTCCTTTGCTATGTGGGCTGTCACATGGGTGCCTGCCTCTTAGATAGGGGACTTGTTAGAATGCTGTTGCCATGTGCTCAAATGCCTATGGGACTGTTTTCCTGATTCTCAGCGTGACCCTGCAGGGCTTTCACTCCAGAAGTCCCCAGGGCACTTGGCAGTAGGTTACAATCACAGTAGATACTAGCCATGCTGAATTATTGAGCCAAAAATTGTCTCCTGGTGAAAGTGCCTGGGTGTTCTAATTTGATTTCTGTTGCTGTGATAAACACTGTGACTAAAACCAACAGGGAGGAAAGGATTTATTTCAGCTTACAACTCCCAGGTTATAATCTATCACTGAGGGAAGTCAGGGCAGGAATCTGGGGGCAGGAACTGAAGCAGAAGAATGCTGCTTACTGGTTAGCCTGCTTTCTTATACAACCTAGGACCACTTGGCCAGGGGTGGCCCTGCTCACTGTGGACTGGGCCCTCCCACATCAATTAGCAGTTAAGAAAATGCCTCATAGACATGGCCGCATGCCAATCCCATGGAGGTAATGCCTCAATTGAGGTTCCTTCTTCCTAGGTGTGTCAAGTTGACAACTGAAGCTATCCAGCACACTGCGCATGCATCTATCTCCTGCCTTCCTGGGTTTGAAATCCCCTCTTAAGATGAGGTAACAGGATGAAGTAGGCATTGGAGGATGCTGCTTGATTGGAGTATTCTGATGTCATCTGAGGCCCTGGTAACCTGAAAGTCTCTGCAAAGCCCAGATCCTACTAGGGAAAGGGAGGAACAAGAAAGGGAAGGTGTTGGGTCTGGGACTGGGACTCAGTTGGTAGAATGTTTGCTGAGCTTGCAGGAAGCTCTGGGTTTTATTCCAAACATTCATGTACACACACGTGCAAACACCACACACACACACACATCAGCAAATAAGTAAAATTCTAAGTAGAACGTGGCTTTGTGTACTTTTCTTGTATTGGCCCCTTTTGCAGTCATGGTGCTGAGTCAGTTTAAACATTTTTAAACTCTTTCTCCATACTGTCAAATTATTTTTCAGAGAGTTGGTAATCAGTTTAAAATCCTTTATTTTTGTTTTATGTGTATGAGTGTCTTGCCTGTGTGTACGTAAGTGCTCCCATGTTGTATAATGCCCATGGAGGCCAGAAGAGGGTGTCAGATCCCCCTGAAACTGGAATTACAGATGGTTGTTAGCCACTGTGTGCATACTGGGAACCAAACCCCAGTCTTCTGCAAGAACAGCAAGTGTTCTTAACCCCTGAACCATCTCTCCAGCTCTATTTTTTAATTTTTAATTTTTGAGTTTTTTGAGACAGGGTCTCCCTGTAGCCCCCAGCTGGCCTGTAACTCCCTATGTAGGCCTGGTTCAATTCCATCTGTCTGTCTCTGCCTCCTGAATGCTGGGACTAAAGTTGTGCACCACCTCGCCTGACCACGCCCAACTTCAATCTTTTTTAAAAAATTAAAAAAAAAATTTTTCTGAGCCTGGTGTGGTGGCGCATGCCCTGTGGTCCCAGCACTTGGGAGGCAGAGGCAGGCAGATCTCTGCGAGTTCAAGGCCAGCCTGTTCTACATAGTGAGT